GACAGCTACCTCACCCTCACTCTACTTGCCTGTAAGTCTGCAGGTGTAGGTGTAGACGTCCCCGAACGCCCCGGGAGGATTAAGTCCCGTTCCGTTCATTTGGGGTCACTACAGCTCACGACTCTTCAAATGTCACGGTTCGTAATCTGAACCAAAGAGTCCAAATCCGGCAAATCGTTTTGAGAAAACAGATTTTTGAAAGAAGTGCCAAACATGGACTGCTTTGCCAGATACAGAGTCGCCACCTAAATATTTTATTTTGGGAAATTTAGGAAACCCTGACTCGGTGCCAAAAGGCCACGTGTCCGTCATCACCAAAGTTATTCTTGCATGCAATGGTTGTGTTCTTATTCCGGTTATTAGCCTAGGTTACTATGTGATGCACACAGCATATAAGTATAGACTGGGTCGCCCGAATTGGAACAAAACATTTCATGCTTGTTTATTTGAAAGATGGTTTGCTACTCGCAAGTAGGCTTAAAATGCAGATTTTGCCACCCGCAGGTGGGCTTAGGAAAGATGGTTTTGCCACTATCTAGTGGGCTTAAAACAAACATTTGATGATTTATTCCAATCCAAGTAACCCAACCTTCACCCACGGGCATTCAAGCAGTTATATCACATAAGCAATTAGCCTCATGGTAAGCATGCTATCATGGCAGCACTCACACGCGTGCAAGGATGCTAAAGCGTAAAAACTCACCGAGTACTCCAAGCCAAAACAGAAGCTTATTAGAAATCATGCATGATCCTAAGTATTCAGAAATGCCTAATGCAACACATGCAAAAATGCAACTATAGCAGGCTCGGCTATTCTAAGCATGGCATATGAAATGCTACAGCTAACAAGTATTCAACTTTAGAATTGAAAATACAATGCAGTTAGTATGGTGCGCCGAGCCCGGTGCATGCAATACAGATGAATGAATGCAAACATGCTGTCATACTGTATGCTAATTGAAATATGTCCTAATCTAACCATCATAAGCGGATAAATAAAAGGGAGAAAGACTTGGGGTTGGAAGACATACAACACACACACGCACACTTATTACAGTTTTGCCCTCACGCAGAGGGTCCGAATAAATAATACAGTCCCGAATATTACAGTCCGAATAAAAGAATATTACAGTCCGCATAATATACAAATTCCTAATTAATGGATGAATTAACTAAGAAAGCAAATAAAACTGGCATGCAAGCCAGGGACTGCCTTGCTTCTGATGGATGATGCATGTCCGGGTTGTCTTGCGCGGAAATCCACCGGGATGCCCCAATTAGCCTCTGTTTACAGTTATTCTTGGAAAGCGTGCCACGCTCCGAAAAGTTACTGATTCTTCATTTGCTGCAACAGAGAGCAGGAAAGGGGCATAGCAATGTATTTGCACAGATATATGCATGCCTCGATCCTCGCGCCACCAATCACGCATATCGAGGCATGATGGCCGAGGAGTCGAAATGCACAATTCAATATAGGATGAATGCACATGAAAATACAGCTAAAACCTAACTCCATCATGGATAATCCGGAGTGTCGGTGACTGGGGAATTGAGACGCGTTCCGTCACTCGGAGTACGAAACGCACCTCGTTTCCCGTGCCCGGGCTAACTCCTATCCCGAACATGATGCAATATGCATGATATGCATGAAATGCCATTAAGATATAGTCCTAACATACACAATGTCATGAAAATGAGATGCCTCGAAACGCGTGCACGCGGGCGCGCAAACCGAGAAAATGCATGAATGCGATCTAAGATACAACCTAAGATGTACAATGCCATAAAAAATGAGATGCCTCGAAATGCGTGCGCGCGGGCACGTAAACCGAGGCGATGATATGTGTCTCGAAATGCGTACCGACGGGCACGCAAACCGAGACATAAAATTTAATTTATTTACTCCTTTTTTTTCTTAAACATACAAAAACAAAAAAATTAATTAGAGAGATAATTTATAATGGCCAAAAATTAGAGAGAATTAAATTGAAGTTGGTGGTTCAATGTATGGACTAAATTTTGGATAGTTATCTATGTGAATCTATCGGGCCATCCGTATCAATTATTTGGTATTACAAAACACAGGCTTACCCATCAAAGTGTCATTTTTTTTTTTTTCCATCTTACCTACGAAACTGCTATGGACTATTAATTAAAATAGTTTAAGACTCTTTCATGCATATATTATAACTAGTCTAATAATGACTTCTAATTATGTAAATAAAAATAAAAATTATTAAAACATAATGTTTAGATTTTCCTTTTCAATGGTTGTGGATAGTCACAAAGCGGAAGTGGCGATAAGTCACTTCGTTCAATACCCATTAGAGATAATTAAATTGAAGTTGGTGGTTAAATGTATGGACTAAATTTTTGATAGTTATCCATGTGAATCTATCGGGCTATCCGTACAACATGATAAACCAAACGAAATTAAACCAAAATTTTTTTATTTAAATAAAATAGAGTCAAAATTAAATATTTTGAGACAACATGATATTTTCATTTATTATTTTGAAGTTAATAAAAATATTTTTTTTGAATAAAATAGAGCCAAAATTAAATATTTCAGAGAACATGATCTTTTATTTGAGAGAACATGATCTTTTCATTTATTATTTTCAAGTAAATACAAATATTTTTTTTTAATAAAATACATTCAAAATTAAATATTTTTTGTTTAATAATTACATTTAGTAGAAATTGGACATTTTGATTCAAAAAATATAGACATTAACAATTTCTGAAGCATAATTTGATTCAAAAAATATAGACATTTTGATTCACAAACATAATTTCAAAATTCCAATTTCTGATTTCAAATTTCAAAATATAGACATTTCATAATTCCAATTCAACAATTCTCAATTACATGAATTTTGTAATATGACAGTAACAATTATGAATTATATGAATTTCAATTTTTTAAATTTTATTCTTAATTAAACAAAATTACTTTTAAAACCCTAATTTCAAACCCTAATTTCCTTTTAATTCCTCTTAACAAGCAAAAAAAAAAAAACTCCCAAGCATAATTTCAAAATTCCAATTTCTGATTTCAAATTTCAAAATATAGACATTTCATAATTTCAATTCAACAATTCTCAATTACATGAATTTCATAATATGACATTAACAATTATCAATTATATGAATTTCGGATTTATTTATCACGATTCTTAATTAAAAAAAAATTACTTTTAAAACCCTAATGTCAAACCCTAATTTCCTTTTAATTCCTCTTAACAAGCAAAAAAAAAAACAATTTCCAATTCAACAAATATAAGTTGGTTTATTCAAAATTCAAAATATAGACATTTTTATTCACAAGCATAATTTCAAAATTCCAATTTCTGATTTCAAATTTCAAAATATAAACATTTCATAATTTCAATTCTCAATTCTCAATTATATGAATTTCATAATATGACATTAACATATTTATGATTTATGAATTTATGAATTTCATAATTCCAATTTTCAATTCTCAATTCTCATATTTATGATTTATTTAAAAATTCAAAAAATTAAAAAAATTCCAAACCTGATTTATGATTCAAAAGCATAAAAATTCACAAGCATTAGAACCCTTAATAATCTGAACCCTAAAATGTCATCCTAAAAGGATATGTGAACAATCTGATATCGAGCAATAATTATCATTAGAACCCTAATTTCATAACCACACTGATAAAGTGTAAAAAATCCAAACCCAAATATTCAATTCACAAGCAACATCCAAAAATTCAAAAGCATAAAAAATTCCACAAATTCAAAAGCATTCACATTTCTGATTTCTAATTTCTAATTTCCAAACCCTGATTTCTGATTTCAAAAAATTCCAAACCCTAATTTCATAACCACATTGATAAAACCCTAACACATTTAATAATTCACATATAAAACCCTAACATTCACAGCAAATTAAAACACATTCACATTTTCACAAACACAAAAAATAAATACATAACATTAGGGTTAACTGTCATACCACGGAAAGAGAGAGAGAGCAGAGACAGAGAGTGAGAGCAGAGAGCAGAGGGAGAGCGAGAGCGACAGTGAGCCGAAGCAGAGCGGGATCGAGTGAGTCTGAGAGCAGAGGGAGATGGAGAGTGAGAGATGAAGAGTCTGTTTAGATCGAGCAAGAGACGAAAAACCTAAGTGTCAAAAACGTGAATGCAAATGAGGGGGAGCTTCGTCTTTTATAGGAGTGTTAAAAACGCTTTTTCAATTAGCGTTTTCATTTAGCTACAGTGAAGTCGCCATTCGAAATAGCGTTTTATTCACAAACGCGATTCACAGTGAAGTCGCTATTCAGAATAGCGTTTTCCTCAGGAATGAAGCGCTATTTGGAATAGCGTTTTATCAGGGAAAAAAATTGAGGTTAAAATCGCTATTCGGAACAGCATTTTCTTAAGTAAAATCGCGATTCACAATAGCACCTTCACTATTCATCAAATTTTGGCCTCCAAACAGTTAAAGCGTGATTTGTAATAGCGCTTTACCTTAGTTTGGGAAATCCGTCAAAACTAGGCCTAGTTTGAGAAATAGGAGGCAAAAGAGGCTTAGTTTGGGAAAAGACTCCCCCACCAATCCTCTCTCTTGCAATCTCTCTCCATATCAATTATTAATAAGTTTAAAAATCAATCATGTAAAACTCAATCCTTATATCATTAGAGGTGATTTTGTGGATCATGTTATAAGAGAGTAACATTTTTCTAAGAAATATACCCTTGTAGTTTTTATATATTTATTTATTTTTTTGATGATGATGATAAATTTTAGAAAAGTAATATCGGAAGGGACTAAAGTGACCCTAGGGGTGAGTGGCTACGTTTTAACTGTTTTTGCGACTCACGGAAACAGGAGGAGAGGAGAGGAGAGTTTCAGGTTATGACTTGCAATTATTTAAAAACCATAACTTCAGTTTAACCACATAATATGAAATCAACTTATGATGAAGGTACAAAATCATTGTATGAGTTGGGTAATATTGACCTGTGTTTAATTATCTCAAATGAAAAAGGTAAGGGTTCAGTTGGAAATCCTGCTTTTCACAATATTCTAAAACATGAGGAGCATTAGAATTCTATGGATAAAGATTCCTAATTGGGTTGCCACATTTTTTCCGAGATTGTGAAGATGGTCAACAATGTAGCCCTTCAAAAAAGTGAGACGAACCTTCCTCATTGGGTTGTAGCACTCTTTGCAAGATTGTGAGGCTGGTCAACATTGTAGCCCCATAGAATGGTGAGATGATATGCCAACAACTGCACTAGAAGACAAATAAAATAACTCAATGATTCAACGTGGATAAAGTTAGACTGGATAATCAAAACAGAGCACAATTGATTCATATTTTAATATGGTGAACATATTTGAAGGAAACTAGCATAGATCTTAATGTTTGTTAATGCTTTAAATGCATATGCAATAAGGGAGGGATTTCATCCTGGTTTGAATCATTTCTAGCACTAGACATTGCCACATTACAATATTTGCAATTTGAATTATAATGGCAAGCAGGAACTATTCAGAATCAGAGATGCTCCATCCACTTGGTTTGATCGTGGCAATCCTTAACAGTATTTGAGTATTTGAGGGAGGGGGAGTTTAAAATTCGAAACTCCTTTGACCACAAATCTTATGTATTGATAACACACACAAAGATAAAGACAGAATGAAAGGTTGGAAATTGTCAAGAGAAAATTAGAAGAGGAGCTGAGGAATTTTAAGCCCTCTACAATCACACATGAAGCAAAGATAGTGTATTCAATCGAAGACGCATTCCCTGCAAGTGCTAGACAGAAGAGCTAAATTGCCAATGAAGTTCACATATAGTAGTACACAATAATATCTGTCAAAAGGGAATGCCAAACTGTCAAAAATCTAAGCATAAAGAACTGTTGGAAAAAAACAGTTAAATAGTTCTTAAAAGTATGTCCTAAAAGGTTGCCAAGACTAATAAAAAAGCCTAAGAAGCACAGGTGCAGGCACGGTACGGGTATGTTGATACAACAAAACCTACAAGTAGGATACGGGTATGACCAGGTAAGTCTATAAAAAGATATATTTTCCATAATTTGCATTAGTACATGAATTATATAAGTATTTTTGTAATGACTAAAATAACCTCACCTTAATTAACATGTTTGCATACACATGATAAACACCAATACTTACGCAAAGCTTCTTGATAAATATCTTGAAGAGATCAAAGTTTCTAGCTAAGGCTCCTAGACTCTGTATTAAAACTACTGAACGACATTACTAATTTCAAATAAAACATATAAGATTGATTGAACAACTACAATTAATGTTGATAACTATTTACCCAGTGTAAAAGTAAATGAGGAAAGACACTTCAGAATATATGTTAGAATGGTCTGATTAAATTACCTATAATGGGAACTACATTAATTACTGGTTGAAGACAGTCCTCAACCTGGGGGACTTCAATTACTCTACAAGAACCACCCACGCTCACAGATGCTGCATCTCCTTTTGAACACATAACAACGAGTCGACCGTTGCGAGCATGAAGTTGCTGAATAATTGACTGCTGCTTGCTGTGCACAAACAAGAACATGTCAGCAGAAAATGACATTTGCAATTTCAAAAGATGTAACTGTTCTTTCTCATAGCAAAACTAACCTGAAACAAGCGTCACGGTTAGCAATGACAACAATTGGGAGATTTTATCAACCAAAGCCAGAGGACCATGTTTCATTTCACCAGCAAGTATACTTTCACTGTGCATAAGTGCCACCTCCTTCACTTTCAAGGCCCCTTCAAGAGCCGTTGCATAGTTGTATCCTGTCCCAAACACAAGCAATGACTGCTCAGCAATCAATAGTTTCGCAAGATCCTTCATTTCCTGGTCAAGCTTCAGCACCTCTCTGACTTTGCCTGCAAAATAAAAAATTATAAATAATTAAAAAAATGTCCAGATATTACAAAATGAGCATTTTTAACAACATACCTCCTTGGCCATAAATAGAAAGGGAAATTGTGGTTTAGTGGGAACATACAAAATAAATGCAATTTTCATAGAGGTGCAAGTGGGTCTATGTCCGGTGCAAGTGCAAGTCGTGGAGCACAACACCCACTTGTACCTCTATGAAAGTGCAATTATTTTGAGTTGTTCTTACAAAATCTCACTTTCCCCTAAATTGAAAGTCTATGAAATCTGCAACATGACAAGGAAAGAAATCAATAAAACATATTTGGCAATTCAAATAGGCCATCTATTATAGCCTCTCTTCTTGCTTGACTGGATATTGTATCGCCACCAATTGCCAGTGCTAGCATAACCATCACTACTATTTGACTAGTGTATGCCTGTTGGCAGAGGTCATGAGATAAACTCAAAATACGACACCTATAAAAAAAATTAAATAAAAACAAATTTTTATACCGTGGTACTAGCCACACCAATCTCAGCACCAGCATTTATATGAACACCACAGTGTGTGTTCCTGGCAATTGCACTACCAACAGTATTTGTAATGCCAACACATAATGCACCATTTTCTAATGCATACTCTAATGCATGTAACGTATCTGCAGTTTCACCAGATTGACTAACAAAACCAGTTGTATCTTCTCTGTATATTGATCCCTACCTCTCCAACAGATCGCTAGCAACCTCCATTGTAACAGGAATACCTGTGAATATTACAAATTCAAATCAGTGTGTTTGGGTCTCAATAATTTAAATTCTGCTTATTATTTGGTGGTCAAGGTACCAGAACATTCGGATGAATTCACAACTTCAGATAGCTAGAACTTGAAAGGGTTTCAAGATTAAAGGTTATTTAAAGCAAAAGATAGCTTTTTTCAATACGGGTTTTGAATTTTGTAACCAAAATTGGATTCTGAGAGATAGGAAAGTTGTTGTCTTTGTTTATTGGAAGCTAGCAAAAACCACCAAAGAACATTAAATTCACTAACAACTTCCCAAAAAGAAACACCAAAGAACAATCTAGAACCAAAAACCGACTGAAGAAAACTAAAGCACTTGTAGAACTGAAAATTGGAAATTATGAGATTATGTATATATATATGTCTATATACAAAGAAACCTACCAAACCCAGATTGTATTAAATTAGAAAGAACAAGGAAATATGGAAGTCATGATAAATGATAATTCGTAAGTGCTGAAATATAGTTTACCCACAAGAAAACAAAATGAACAGATTGCTATAATAATTGATAGAAAGCCGCGAAGAGAAAAAGCATGCAAAAAAAAAGAGAGTAAACTTTGAGTTTTTATTGGTATAGACCCGTGAGAGACAACTTATTTTGTTAATATGCATTGTTGCTTATTCTTTGCGATTATGAGATGCCAACTGATGTCTACATATGATTTACTAAAATGACATATTGTCAATTACAGATTATCAACATCTTAAAATTCGTAATCTCTTTCTGCTTTTTCATCACATGGAGCAGGCCTTAAGATGCCTTGGTTGTGAATAAATTTCTATAATGCTATTGAAGATAGGCTCATCCTATCACCGAATTTGCACAAATAACAACAAAAACAATAAGGAGCTAAAGGAGATAGAGTTATCGAGTCGACAAATTCAATTACCACTAGTGAACTTAATATGAAATCTAAATCAAATAGAATCACCAAACATTTTAGCATTCACAATTGCAGCAACAATAGTTATATACATACAATTACTATTGCCAACCAAATGTAGATGGTTATAAATATCCAAATTCCAGCAAGCTTTCAATTATGGTGTCTAATAGTTTAAGTGTACATGTGGTGGTGGGTTTATTGTTTTCTCACTTTGAATGTTTTTCTCTCTAAAACTAATACCAGCCTACTAAAAGCATCATTAAGCATGGAGAAGCCTTCCATTTCTGATTTTGAGACACGCACATGCACACACAAAGCCCCACACACATTGCCACCTTATTGTATTAGTCAAAAGTTTTTGATGGCATGCAATTTTTTAAATTTATTTTTCCTGTTCTTCTTACATGGAGATTGTATCTTTCTCAAAGTTTTTCCATCTTTTTGATGGCATGCTATTTGGTTATCTAGGCCTTGGAATTTTGTGCCAAATGACTTTACATTAGTCTATATATCTCATTTTCTTGTTGATTTTGAGAATTTAATAACTCTCTAATTCTTTGTCTTTAACAACCAATTCTATACATATCCCAACTTCCTAAATTACGTCTGTGCTTACAGTTCATTGATTGCGAATCAGCCAATAGTGATAGCTTTTTGGTGCTTCTATCTCAGGTTTTCTTTTTTATTTCTAACTTCTAGATTTTGTGATTCCATTTATATAGAGCCAATTCCAATAAAAAGGTACAAGATTAAGTGGATTCAAACTTAATAATGATGCAAATTCTGAAAATGTTTTTATTGAAGTGTTGAAAATATACTGTATACATAACAAGAATAAAATGGTTAGCATATAAAACTAACACGTTGCTTTTCATTGTACAGTGATGGTTAATATCATGGGTTGTACTGATTAGAGACCACAATAGCTTAATTCAATGGTGCATCTTGATCAATAGAAGCCATTTCCTTTCCTGAAATATAATGCTTAAAAAAGCAGTTGATTGTGCAATGTTTTTTAATCCTAGGTAAGTTGGGATTTGAACAAATTACCGTTTAGTTAGAAAAAAAGTGGGTATAATGAGGCCATGAACTATTGCCATTGCCAAGGAAAATATAAAATCTTCACTCCAATTGAAGACCACATAATCAACTGAAACTTTTCCACTTAAATTAAAAACATATAAATACATGCCAAACCTCATCTTTGTGCTATATTTGAACTTTTTGTGTGTGTGTTGTGCGCGCCCGTTCTATGACACCCAAATACATGGTGCACACTTCATTAGTGAATTCTGTGTTGGTCTTTGAGACTATGTTACTCTTTAGTAAATTTGTGTTGCTAACTTGCTCATGATTTTGATGATTAGCAACGTATTCAAAAGAGATAAGACCCCATGTATTTTTTAGTTGTAGCATTGATATCAAAATGTCAATGGTTTGAGACAAAATGTCAACATCCCCATGCAATTTTTAGTTTCAGCATTGACAATTTCACATGGTTCGTAAGGAGTTGTTCCTAATATTTGAGTAAACTCTTCTTATTCGTTTCTTCTTCTTCTCTACATTGATATCAATGGTTTGTAGGGAATTGTTCCAAATGTTTGTGTAAACTCTTGTCATTCGTTTCTTTTTCTTTATTTATTATTTTTTTGGGTGCAAAATGTTGCCATTCACTTCATATTGCATTCTTCAAACTATTGATGAGACTTTGAAAATTTTGAAATCTCCAATTGGATCGAGAAGAGCAGCATACTATTTCTATTTCAAACTCAGAATGGCTCGCATGCTGAACTCTGACCAACAGGTATTTTTGTTACATTGAGTTCTATTCAATGTTTGAGATTAGATGCCAACATAAATTATGTAGAACTTATTTTAGTGGTTCTACGTGATTCTACGAAAAATCAAAGATACTTGTATGCATTTGAATTATGAAAATATGCCTTACACTTTTTTTTTTAGGAGTCGATCGTCTTGTGCCCTATCTCAACTAATGTACTGTGTTTTGTATTCCATCTTTGCCTGCTTAAACTTTTGAAACATCTTTGAGTATCATGGTCAAAATTCATCATAGGGATCTAATGAGATTTGATTCAAATATGTGAGAGAAGCCATTTGCCAGGTGATAAGCTCATGGTATAAGAAATTTTTTTTAACTAATTTTTCTATCCCAATATTTGCTCTTCATGGATTGAGCCCATAATTTTAAAATTTATTTGGCAGATTGAGTTGGTAATCAAATGAATCTGTTGACTTGATGTTCAGTCCACCACTCTCAACACCCTCAGTTGAATGTGAAGTTGTTGCCCATACATTGACATATAAACTACAGACAAGTTTCCTAGCAAGGAATTAGCTGAAAATCAGTTTTCCCTGCTCTACTTTATTTTCATTTTGTGTTTTGATCCTGTAATTTTCTTTTTCTTCCTTTTTGTTGATTTTGTTAAGGTTGGCAACATGGAATCCAAGAAGGGGGCAGCTGATTGGGATGAAATTGGGACAAGTTTGAAGATGAAGGTATGTCAAACAGTTTTCATATAGGATTAAGTGGACATTTATCTTGAGTATCTTTTTGTCAAGAAGTGTTTGATGATGGATCTTTGAGTGTCTGCACTACTGGTTACTCTTCTTGTCATTTAAAATGCATCCAATGCCTCCCTTTTTTGATTGGCCTAATTTTTTTGTGGATTGAAAATTTTCTGATATGGGGAATCTGAAGCCAAGATGTGCAAGTTGTAGTTGTATTATAATTTCGATGAACTCTTGCCACTTCCGAGTTTCACATTTGTCAAAGAGCTCACTCTTGAAATGGAAAATGTTGTAGCTCCTCTTCAGTTGTTAGTAAAGCATCTTCCACAAAAGAGGTTGTGCATGTTTCATCAACAAATGCTGATCATAATTCAGAAATGCCACCAAGTGGAGGGGAAAGGATTGCCGATGATGCTCATAGCGAAGACAGCGTAGAACTTCAGTGCAGATGGTTCACCGCATGCTAGAGAGACCTAGAGGTACAGGTTTTAATTTGCATCTTTTTTGTATTTTCCTTCTGCGTTGGATTTGAAATTTTTTATTGGTGTCTGAACCTTTAAACCATTGGACGGCATCTATCTACACCTATTGTTTCATTCGAAAATCTGAATTTCTGCATGATTTTATTGGTGCTCTGAACACGGGGGGTGTTGAATATGTGTTCTCTGGGGACAGAAGTGTTGATGAACGAAACTGGGGCGCATTTGACGCTCATTATGATACCGACTTAGGCTGGGACTTCAGTTTTGGTCCTACAAAGGTATATGAATACTTCTTGATTTGAGTGGCAATCCAGTTTGCTCTGTGCATTAATTAGAGATGCAGTGCAGCCATGCATGATGCATGTGAAGTTTTGATCCATATCCCTTCGATCATTCAGTCTCTCTTTTCTTTGGCGTTGTCCATGAGAATCCTTTTTCCAGAATTTTTGGTTTAATGTTCTTTTGTAGATCATTTTTTTCCTCTAAAAAAAAAAGAATCAAATATTTCATGCATGTGAAGTTTTTGATCCATATCCTTAAAGTGTATTCTGAAATATTTTTGACTTAACATAAAGAAAGGGATGTTTGTGTGTATATAGTTTCTGTCTACAATAGGGAATTACAACATTACCAAGGCAATTAGAAAGTAAAATTAATGAAGTATTGTTTTCAAATAAATCAGTAGTTGTTTGGATATTCAAAGCAACGGGCAAGGACACACATACATATATTGCATATAATTACTATCATTTATTTCATTTCTCTTAATAAAAATGTACTATGTTTATTTTTTTCTCTATACATAATCTTACATATATATTTCAATTATCTACATTAACAATGTCGCGACCCCCACACGCAGAGCACGTGGGGGTTCAACTAGTTTATCTTTTAAGAAAAGATTTATGGTAAAACAAATTTATGACTTGGGCTTTCTTTGTTTTGTGCTTTACTTGCTTGAGCAAAAACCATCAGGCTTTGTAGAGTTTGAGAAACGCAAAACCCAATCATGCATTCTTCTAGAATGTATGATTGGGTGGGTGCGATCAATCGGTGGGGCTGGACGACTCCTACTTCGAGCTTTGTCTTTCCAGACTCTGGTTCTGTGTGCAAATCAAATTTGATAATTCTAGTGACTCTTAATTGAATTTTTTATGTTAATGTTTGTTCTTCTGTCTTTGGAGTTCAATAGTGTGGGTTTGTACATATTACTTCGTGCTGTTTAGATTCAATAAATTCCCTGTTAAGTTGTACACAAAGTAAATAATATGCAGGCTGATGCAGCATTTTTGCTCAGACTTATGTCTTTAGTTGGCTTTTCTTGTCAATATGTGCTTAATCCTTTAATGGACTATTGGTATAAAGAAATTTTCCTTGTACCAAAAAAATAAAATGAAAGTAGTAAGTTTCCTTTTCTAATGAATTATAAAAACATATTTCTACATTTTAATCTTATGGACAAATAAATGGACTGGCACTTAGCATCTGTGTTACATGGACTCGGCGCTTTGGGGCGAAGTACCCGTGTTGACACGACATGACAAGGGTGCGGGTGTGGGATTTGTGTCGAATTAGCTTGTTCTCTCTCGGACATGGCTCTTCACAGACAGCAAAAGAAATGAAAGAGGAGAGAGCAAGAGATAACCTGGTCGAAGCTCCATCCAATCGATCCAGTCGAAGCTCCATCCAGTTGAAGATCGTAGACCTCCAATCGAAGCTCCATCCGGTCGATCTAGTCGAAGATCGAAGCTCCGTCAGTCGATCGAAGCTCCATCCGGTCTCTCTCTCTCGCCTTCTCTCTCTCCCTTGCGATCGCGATCGCGATCGCGATCGCTTCGCTTTTCTCCCTCTCTCTCTCTCTCTGTCGTTTTATTTTCTTCTCGATTCATATCTCTGTCTCTCTATTTATTCGAATCTATCTATTATTATATATTATATAATAATTATTATATGACACATAATATATTTATAAGATAATATATACTTATATATATTAATAAAAATAAATAAACACATGTATCTAAAATAAAATAAAATAAAAAAATTAATTAGAACACATTGTTTAAAAATTATAATAAATAAATTAAATAATTAACGTATATTAAAATAAAAATATTTATAAAAAAATATATATAATATAACTCATCTTCATAGATTTTTATTTGTTATTTATATAATATAACTCATCTTCATATAATAAATATATATATTTTTTAAAATATTATTTGACGTATTCCCGTACCCGTATCCAAATTTAGATACATATCCACGTATACTTAATTTTTAATTTTGAAGTATCCGACCCTTAAATATGCACCTGCACCCGATACCCGTACCCAAGTCTGTGTAACATAGCTTAGCTTAGCATTAATTTTTCTTTTCGAATGAATTATAAAAACATAATTCTGCATTTTAATTTATGCACAAATAAGTGGACTGGCACTTGGCATTTTGGCACTGTTGTAATCATAGTTTCATTCTTTTTGCTCAGCTGCATATGATTGTACGGTGGTGTTAACCTGACTTTGGTTTCTCTTTTTTCATCTTTGATTGAGGCTTATTAATTTAGTGCATTTGCAGTCCAGTTTTGGTACTAAAACGTGGCACATTAAACACTTAAGAGTTGCTGTTGAGTCCTTGTAGCTGCTAGGTGCTCTGTATACTGTTATGAGCAGCAGTAGTAGTTTGACAAGGTTCTTATACAAACTGTTTCGTTCATGGTATGTCAAATGGTCTATGTTACTTTTAAGTCCTGCCTATTCTAAATTCAACATTGCAGTAACGACCTCTCTATTGAATTCATTCTATACGAAGTTATTTTTTGTCTTTGGAATTCAAATATGAATTTAAGAAAATTTGAGACCTTTATATGGCCGGTCTATTATGAGTCTGGTTTTATAATTTGAATATTTTTTTTTTATAAAAAATATTGTGTATATTATTTATAAAAAAAAAATTAGATTGATTTGATAATTATGACATTATTTGTCGTAATGAAATTCCCTATTCATGCTTCACTTTCTCTTTTATTTTTTCTTTTAATTATGTTGTGAGAAAAAAAGTATTGAACATACCAATTTACATTGGCACCTCTATGATAGAAGATTTATTTAGTGCTCACATATTCATTTTAGTATGATGTTTATTCTAAATTCACTAATCGGATTTGGCCTACAGTACAGAAAAAGCTTATAAAATAGACAATAGGACAAATAGGACCTTCTACTATCCACAAATCTTGCATACTGTGGATTTTCCATTATTGAGTATTTTTCTATGTGTTGTCCATTCCCGTGTTGTATTTCTGCTTGGTTTCTAGGGTTCGAAGATGGACAAGAGTTTGATGATGATAAAAGATAGGTTGAAAAGTAAAGAGTATCAACAAGGTGTCTAGTCATTTATTGAAATTGCTATGAAGAATTTAGGCCCATAGGATGACATTCGTTTTTCGTGTGTCGATTGCTTGAATGGCACAAAATTTAGTCGACAAGTTTTATGGTTGCACTTGATTCGAAGAGGAATCGCGTGTTCTTATAGAACTTGGGTGCACCACGGGGAACATGTTCCCATGCATCGTGATGATATTGACATTATTGTTTTGAATTCAAGCTAATAGGATACTTCATTAAGGTTTGAGTTGTCACTTTCATGTTAATATGCTTTGGCTGTGTTGATGAAATTTATGTTCTTAACAGTAAAAAGCATTAGCATCAAAGAATTGATCTGAAAATTCTTCATTTGCATACCCAGTTCAAAGTTTGGGGTATTGTCAAGTGAGACTTGTTTTGTGAGACATGTCTTGTTTATAAATAAATGGTTTGTGTATATCATTCTCACTGTAGCTTATGAGTTTTGTTTAATTTGAAATTTTGTATCTATACTTTCAATAGGTTTTGATGTGTAATATTTGGAGACTTAGAAGCTGAGGACCTTGTGTTTGGATATTCTGATGGACTTCATTTTGATGTGGAAAAAGGCAAGCACATGTTTTCTATGAAATATTCACTTTTCCTGAATTGATTAGGAATACTCACTGGCAGTTTATCAATTATGAAACAGTTGAACAGAGTGCCTAAATGGTTGGGTTTCACATAGAGTAGATTAGCACAACCAACTTGGGTTTCACGAACTTTCATTTAAGTTAATTGAAAAAAAATAAAAATAAATAAATAATCCAACTTAGTTGAAAACGGGCGTTCCAGAGGCAAAAATGTAAAACAGCCACCGAACCACTCTATGGATGTCAGGGGTACTTTCCTCATGACACATAGAACCTGTGGGGACAGACGACATGTAATTAGCACACGTAGGTTGGGAGTTAGAGTAAAAAATGCCTTAAACTTAGTTGAAAAAAGGCGTTCGGGAGGTGAAAATGCAAAACAGCCCTTGAACCACTCTATGGATGTCACGGATACCTTCCTCGTGACACATAGGACCTGTGGGGACAGACGGGATGTAATTAGCACACATAGGTTGGGAATTGGAGTAAAAAATGCCTTAAACTTAGTCGAAAAAAGCCGTTCGAGGGGCGAAAATGCAAAACAGGCCCCAAATCACTCTGTGGATGTTACGGGAAGCTTCCTCGTGACACATAGGTCCTGTGGGGACAAACGGCATGTAATTAGAACACATAGGTTGGGAGTTGGAGTCAAAAATGCCTTAAACTTAGTCGAAAAAACGCATTCGGGGGGTGAAAATGCAAAACAGCCCCCGAACCACTCTATGGATGTCACGGATAGCTTCCTCATGACACATAGGACCTGTGGGGACAGACGGGATGTAATTAGCACACGTAGGTTGGGAGTTGGAGTCAAAAATGCCTTAAAATTAATCGAAAAAAGGCGTTCGGGGGCAAAAATGCAAAACAGTCCCTAAATCACTCTGGATGTTACGGGAAGCTTTCTCGTGACACATAAGACCTGTGGGGACAAACAACATGTAATTAGCACACGTAGGTTGGGAGTTGGAGTAAAAAATGCCTTAACTTAGTCGAGAAAAGGCGTTTGGGGGGTGAAAATGCAAAACAGGCCCCGAACTACTCTATGGCTGTCACGGGCAGCTTCCTCACGACAAATAGGACATGTGGCAGCTTCCTCATGACTCTATGGACATGTGAATATATTTTAGTCATGAGTTGCATGTATTTTACCTTGATGAAGAAGAACAAGCAGCAACAAATTGGCTGGAAAAGAAGTATAACCATGGTTAATGAGGTTTATGTTCAAAAAATGTTTGGTTCCTTTGCTTTTTTAGCCTGAAGACCTTTTCTTTAGAAACTCTATTTTTGCTTTCAGTGTTGCTTTCTGCAATGAAGAGAGTATTGCAAAGGTATTTTCGCTTCAAGGAAATTTCTATCTGTTTTAGGCTCCATTTGTTTTGATGTGATATAATTTACACTAAAAATAATTTCATGTAGAATAATTTACATCTCTTATTTTTCAATGTTTGGCTTCAACTCTAAATAGTTCAAGTCACAAATCTCAAGGCAAGATACCAGTTAGCTATTGCTCTGCTATTTATACATAAAAATAAATATATCACAGATTGTTTGAGGAACCAAAAATAGACAGTGAATCAGAATGGCATGCTTCATCACCATGTAAACCAACCAATTCGGGAGAAGAAGAAATAGAAGCTGAAACTATGGGAGACCATTTGCTTTTTCATTGTAATTAATATTTTCCCCTTTCATTATGTTTATTATTTCTCATTGTTCTTTTTGACGTGACACTAAAAACACAAAAGGAAATTTTTGCCATAACTTATCCCTTCTAAGCACCATCATTTTAAACTCGAAGGGTACAACAACTTGAACAATTAAATGCAAACTTCAGCACAGGCCTTATATACTAAATACACATTTCTATTGGCTTACTATTACCCGACCGCATACTCAAAGGCCATGAAACATGGAGGAAAGCTTTTTTTTTTTCACTACAATATAGTAACAGGTATGTCCTTGGCCAGTGGTCAGCCACCAACCATCTCATTATATCTTGTAGACACAAAGCATCAAACATATTCTCACATTAATCATTCTTTTAATAATGAATTAGAAATGATTGCCAATCAAGTCCATGAAACTCTGAAATGTTTATTTATTCACCATTCATACTTCAAATCTCCATTTCAACAACAGTGGAGTTGAGGTGATAGGTGATTACAAGTCCAAAGGTATTGCTTATATACCCTTTCCTCGGGTTTAGGCAAGAGAGAGGGAAGTGAATCTAGAGAGGAGAAGAATCCTTAGTTTCAAATTTATAAGGTTCACCATTCACATAGTAAGATTTAAAAATGCAAAAGAAGACAATATGCTTCAATGAGAAATCTCTCTTCATGTGGGAACTATTTCCCATCCATTTTGCTCAAAAAACACTCAACTAAAGTCTCACAAGAAAAACAAAACTTCCTGCACACTCCAAAATATAATCAAGGCATGATTTTCAACCTGTTCCCCTTCAAGGATATTATAACAACAAGAAAACAAAAGAATCTTACAGCAACTAATCCAAGTAGTTTCATTTCTAAAATAAGTTTTCTTGAGCAATACTTTACATACCTCTGGATGCACAATACCAAAAGTGCCTATGCACTTCCCTTTGTAAATGATTCTAGCTTGTCTACCCAGAAGAAACCTCAGGCAATTGTTCCATATGTCAACTAAAAGAGAATGTGTAGAAGAGGTGAGACTTACATCTGCACATTGGGAATAAAGGTTTGAGAAATGGTGTCCCAATTACTTTCGTAACTCTGTCGAAAATGTCTTAAATTTAATCAAAAAAAGGCATTCGGCAGGCGAAAATGCAAAACAACCCGTGAACCACTCTGTGGATGTTACAGGTAGGTTCCTTGTGACAAATAGGACCTGTGGCAACAGACGGGATGTAATTAACACACATACATTGAGAGTTGGAGTCGAAAACGCCTTAAACTTAGTCGAAAAAGGCCGTTTGGGGGGCGAAAATGCAAATAGCCCCTAATCCACTCTATGGATGTCACAGGCAGCTTTCTCATGATAAATAGGACATGTGGGGATAGACGGCATGTAATTAGCACACGTAGGTTAGGAGTTGGAGTCAAAAATGCCTTAAACTTAGTCGAAAAAAGGCGTTCGGGGGGCGAAAATGAAAAACAGACCCCAAACCACTCGTAGATGTTACGGGCAGGCTCCTCGTGACAAATATGTCTTGTGGGGACTGACGGGATGTAATTAGCACACGTACATTGGGAGTTAGAGTAAAAAAACGCCTTAAACTTAGTCGAAAAAAAAGCGTTTGGGGAGCGAAAATGCAAAACAGCCCCCGAACCACTCTATGGATGTTACGGGCAGGTTCCTCGTGACAAATAGGACCTGTGGGGACACACTGGATGTAATTAGCACACATACATTGGGAGTTAGAGTCGAAAATGCCTTAAACTTGGTGGGAAAAGGCCGTTCGGGGGGGAAAAATGCAAAACAGCCCTGAAACATTCTGTGGATGCTACGGGTAGGTTCCTCGTGACAAATAGGACTTGTGGGAACAAACAACATGTAATTAGCATGCGTACATTGGGAGTTAGAGTTGAAAACGTTTTAAACTTAGTCGAAAAAGGCCGTTCGGGGGGCGAAAATGCAAAACAACCCCCGAACCACTCTATGGATGTCACAGGCAGCTTCCTCATGACAAATAGAACCTGTGGGGACAAACGACATGTAATTAGCACACGTAACTTGGAAGTTAGAATAAAAAATGTCTTAAACTTAGTCGAAAAAAAACTGGCGGAGAGGTTTGTAAAAGCGAATCAAATCCATAGCTTTGTGATATATATATATATATATATTGTGCCTTGTGGTAGGTTGTATTATCCAAATGGGTACAAAAATGATGAAATAGAAATTCACAATGATGGCAACCCTAAGTGCTCTGTTTGGTTCTTGAGATTAGAAAGAAAGTGAAATTAAGTTGTTCTATAATCTTTTCATCTAAATCTAGCCAATTTCAGTTTTTCTTGCTTGCAAACTAATAAAGACTACCCATGAATCCACCATGTATGTCTCTATAAACATATACAAATATATATATATATATATCCGTGAATGAAATGAAATAATTATGAAGTTCTTGAAAGAAGACCCTAAACACTATTGTTACAATTAAGCTTATGTGTTGGGGCTATGTTATTGGAGTCCATCAATCAATATGCAAACATCTACCACACTGATTGAACTTGGAAGATTGGCAAATTAATGAAAAAATGATGAAACAAAAAAGCTCAAAAGATGCAACCTTGGTGCTTTGTTTGGTTATCGAGATAAAAATAAAGAGAAATTCAGTTATTATATAAATTTCACCAACATTTTTCAGTTTTTCTTGCTTGCAACCTAAAGGCCCATGAATGAATGAATTCTTACATATATGGATCTCTATAAACATATATACGAGTTATGTTATTCTTCCAATAATGCAGCTCAGATTCTTCATAGACATTGTTACATTATCCTCAAATGTTATATGGAACTAATGGGTGTATATATATATTTTTAGATGGCTTTTGGCATGGATTCGTGGATATTCCAATTCACTTTTGTATAATCCCACTTTTTTGTTGTCCTCTGCTTTTTGTGTGGATTTGTATTACTTGTACAGAATACTTTTGGCGGGGTACATAATACTTTTGGCATGGAACAAACAATTATTGCCGTGATATAATGGTAATTTATACCGTGCCAAATGGCTATTTGGTATAGTAGTAAATATATTTTTGTGTACGAAGGACATGATTGTCGTATGATTATTTGTTTTGTACGAAATTATTATTTTAAATTGGAATATACTTGATTTGTATGGAATTAGACATTTAAAGTTATTTATTTTTAGATGGTTGGAAGTGAAATGGATGCAGATTGTGGAATGGGTGATAATATATGTATTGTTTTGTTTGTATACCTCGTACAAGTTGCATGGAATATATACAGGTTGTGGGCGTGGACAAATTAATTATTAAAAAAAACATAAAATGATGTTTTTTTCAACTAAACAATTGGTAGCCAAAAATTGAGTAAATATTTTTAGCGATTAAATAGTTAGTAGCTAAAAAAAGAATTAAATGAAAACAAATCTTTTGGTGACTAAATAGTAGTAGCTAACAAAAGAATTAAATGAAAACAAATCTTTTGGCAACTAAATATTTAGTAGACATAAAAAATAAGACTTTAGGCGACTAATGATTTAGTAGCCAAAAAAAACAAAAAACACTTTTGGTTACTAAATATTTAGTAGTCAAAACTAAAAATATTATACCTTAGGCGACTAAAATTTTAGTAGCTAAACAATTGAATCTTTTGGGGACACAAAATTTCAGTCGCTAAATATTTTAGTCACCAAATATTTTCAACGACTAACTATTTTTTAGTTGCCAATTACCTTTCTCAACAATCATTCAATGACAAAGCTGGCAACCAAAACATTTAGTCAGCAGAAGGTTTGGGCAACTAAAATGTGACTTTTGGCGAAAATTTCTTGGGTACTATGTGTTTGCGCGCCATTGTAACTAGTTTATTACCCTAATTAATTTCAATAGACTTGATTAACTAATAATAATTTTAAAATTGAGTGGGAAAATTTTTTCATAATTCGGTAACTACTTGGTACGGGTATGACATGTTTGTTGACATACTCATTCTTCATAGTTAAGTGGATCAAATCGATGAGAGAAGGTGAGCAGGGTGAGAGAGAAGTCGGACCTTAGGGTTTGGAATCTAAAAAGATGGTGAAAAACTGATTAAAAACCCGCTGCTGTCTAATTAAACTGGACAGGCTCGCTCGAGCGACCAGACACAAGAAATCCTCGCTCGAGCGAAGAAAATCTCGCTCGAGCCAAGAATGCAAAGCTACAGGTCTATACTAGACGCAAACTCTCGCTTGAGCGACCAAACTGAATTTAATATGTAGAACCACAAACAACAGCTCGCTCGAGCGACCAACTCCTCGCTCGAGCGAAGATCCAAAATTCTCAA